TTGCTCTACATCTGGATGCAGAGTAATAATGGATGCAAGTACAGTTACTTATTAAATACCTTTTCCTTTTAGAGGGGAGATAGAATATCAGTAATTACTTGTTAGATTCTAGAAAAAGTTGGTTCAATTCTGCAGAAACATTTATCGAACACTTACTACCATTTGCCATGTACTGTGATCTATACTGAGTATGAAAAGATAGTAATTTTGTTTTTAAGTAATTCATTAATCTTATTTATGTCTTTATGCACTTAATAAGCCCCCCCCCCTTTGGGAGCCAGGATTGAACTCAGGGGCACTCAACTACTGAGCCACATCCCCAGACCTATGATGTATTTTTTAGTTTTTTAGTCAGGATCTCACTGATTTGCTTGCTATTGCTGAGTCCTCCTGCCTCAGCCTCCCAATATGCTGGGATTACAGTTGTGTGCCACTCTGCCCAGCTCCAGCCCTTATTTGTTTTGTACTTTTCTTTTGAAATTTTAAAGCAAGAGGCAGAAAATCTATTTTCTGAAAATGTATTCTTGACTTCTCTTTGTTTATTTTGTGTTACTAGAGATAGAAGCCCATCTGAGCTGTATCCCCAGCGTTTTGATTCTGTTTTGAGTAATGTTTGTGTTAAATTGCCCAGGTTGACCTTGAACTTGTGATCCTCTATTCTCAGCCTCCTGAGTAGCTGGAATTACAAATGTGCACCACCATCCCTGGCCTGTTTATTATTTTTTAATCATAGTTTTGGTATGACACAACTTGCATTCCTCAGAGTTCACTCATTTAAAATAAGTAATTCATCAAATTTTAGTGTATTCTAAGTTTGCAACCATCAATATAGTCAATGTTAGAACATTTTCATAATCCCCCAAAGAAATTCCATACCTATTAATAGTTACTGCCCATTCCTCTCTCTCCTCATAGTCCCTGGCAACCACTAATCTGCTTTCTGACTCTATAGATTTCCCAATTGTGGATATTTCATATAAGTGGAATCTTAAATTATTTGGTCTTTTATGGCTAGTTTCTTTTAATAAGCATAACATTTTCAAGGCTTATCAATGAATCAGTACTTATTACCTCCCCCGCTTTTTCTTTTCTATTGGGGATTCAACCTGTTGGCGCTTAACCACTGAGCCACATCTCCCAGCCCTTTTTATTTATTTTGAGGCAGGGGCTCACTAAGTTGCTTAGGGCCTTGCTTTGAATTTGCAATCCTCCTGCTCCAGTCTCCCAAGTCTCTGGAGCATGTGCCACCATGCCCAGCTTTCTTTGCCTTTTTTTAAAAAAAATATTTTTAGTTGTAGATGGACACAATACCTTTTTTAAATTTATTTTTATGTGGTGCTGAGGATCGAACCCAGTGCCTCATACATGCTAGGCAAGTGCTCTACTACTGAGCTACAACCCCAGCCCCTTCTTTTCCTTTTGATGGCAAATAAGATTCCATTATATGGATATACCATATTGTAGTCATACACCATCAGTTGATAGAAATTTGGATTATTTCTATTGTCTTTTAAGTCTATTATGGATAATGTTGCTATGAATATTGTGTATACATTTTTATGTGAGTATATATTTCATTCTTGGGTATATATGTAAGTGAAACCCTTTGAGGAAATGTCCAACAGTTGTCCAGAGAAGTTATACCATTTTATATTCTAAGAGTAGTGTGAGGTTTCTAATTTCTTTACATGCTAACCAGCAGTTTGAGTATAACCATCCTAATGCATATGAAGCAATATCTCTATGTGGCTTTGATTTACAATTCTGTAATAACTAATGACATTGAGCATATTTTCATGTGCTCATTGACTATTTTTATCAGCAACTTTTCATCTTTCTGACCATTCTTTTGTAGTCACATTTCCCTCTGACCATAACCTGGAAAGGTTTCATGTCATTAGATTTTTGTCACCTGGATAATCCAAGACAATCTCAAGATATTTAACCTTAACCCCGTTTTTATAAGTCCTTTTTGTTAAATAAGGTCATATATTCACATGTCCTGAGAATTAGAATGTGGCCATCTTTAGGAACCACATCTGTCTACCATACTGTATTAACAATGCTAATACTTCTTTTGATCCCAAAACATGAGGTTTTCTCATTTACTAGGATATCTTTAATTTCTTTCAATGATGTTTTATATTTTTGTGTATAAGTCTTATAATTATTTGTTAACTTTATTTTAAGCATTATATTCTTTTTTAAGCAATCATAAAAGGAATTATATTCTTAATTTTGGATTATTCATTGTTATAATATAGAAATATAATTTTTTATGTTGATCTTATGTACTTGTTCTTGTTGAACTTGTTTATTTTTCTAATAGATTTTCTTGGAATTTTCTGTATTCATGACCACATTATCTATGAATATAGTTTTACTTTTTCCTTTTCAATCTGGATTCCTTATTTATTTTTCTGCCTAATGGTCTTGGTTAGAATTTCAAGTGTACTATTGAATTGAAGTGGTATAAGTTTTTTTGTTCCTGATGGTAGTAGAAGTATTCAGTCTCTTACCATTAAGTATGATACTTATTAATGCTCATTAATGTTCATTAATGCTCTTTATCATGCTGAAGAAGTTCCCTTCTCTTCCTAGTTTGTTGGGAGTTTTATCATGAAAGGTATTGGATTTTTGTCAAATGCTATTTCTATTTCTTTTGAAATAATGTGTTTTTAAATAACAGCGTAATTGAGATGTAATTCACATCTTAAAATTCACCCTTTGAAGGTGTACGATTCAGTGGTTTTTAATATAGGCACAGAGTGTACAGCCATCACCACTATGTGATTTGAGAACATTTTCATTACCCCAAAAAGAAACCCTGTACCTATTAGCTGTCACTCCCCATTACTCCCTCCTTCAGCCCCTGACAACCACTAATAACTTTCTGTCTATGGATTTGCCCACTCTGGATATTCCTTATAAATAGACTCATGTAATATGTGACCTTTTGTGTTTGGTTCTTCCATTTAGTATATTATTTCCAAAATTTATCCATGTTGTAGCATTTATCAGTACTTAATTCTTCCGAGTGCAGGCCAGATCTTTTCAAGCTTCTTTAGTCTCTGGTTATCTCTGATAAATTAAGCCTAAATTTATGCTTTTTTTTTTTGGTAGTAGGGATTGAACCCAAAGGTGCTTAACCACTGAACCAAATCCCCAGCTGGTTTTATGTTTTATATAGAGATAGTATCTCAATGAGTTGCTCAGGGACTTGCTAAGTTGCTGAGGCTGGGCTTGAACTCCTGATCCTCCTGCCTCAGCCTCCCAAGCTGCTGGTATTACAGGCATGTACCACCGTGCCTGGCTAATTTATGCTGTCTTGAAGCTACTTGTCTCTTAATTACTTACCACCAATGCTTCATTTTTTAAAAAATATTTTTTTAGTTGTTGATGGACCTTTCTTTCTTTTCTTTTCTTTCATTTGCTGAGAATTGAACCTGGTGCCTCACATGTGCTAGACAAACTCTCTACCACTGAGCTACAACTCCAGCCTGCAATTCATTTTTTTTTTAAAAAGAGAAACCTTCAGTTTGAACTTCTTCACATTGTTTTTCAAATAAATCATTTCTTTTGGGGCTAGCTTAGGAGCTCCCACTGGGCAAAATCTTTGAGCCAGTGCTTTGGATGTTAGGCAGTGGTAATAAATAGCTAGTGGTTTTCTTGCATACCTCTTCACATATGGGACTTAGCCCTACAAGTGAGCTTGGGTGAAGTACTAGTGTGAAGGGCCATTGGGGCCCCAGGATTCTAAGCCCTCTGTGCCTGGGGTAGAACCACTGCCCTATGAGTGGAGGCTGGTTAAAGGAAGTGCCCCCAGGAACTCTTGGCTTTGCTTACTGAGAATTGTACACCCTCAGTTCTTTGTTGGAGGTGATAAGAGTGCTAGCTGCTTATCTCTCTCATTGAGATACTATATCTCCTGATTGAGAGCTGGGGCAGAGAGAGTCTAGTATTCTTGGCCACTCTTACCAGAAGTATATATTAAGGTAAGCAAAAGGATGGGGGAATGAAAGGAGTGGATTGTGGCTCCTATGCCATGGACTCACTGTTACATTACTGAGTTTCAGCAGATTTTCTTGAATAAATGGTTTTTTGTTTGCTCTTTGCCCTCAGGACAATTTCCAGAAGTTTCCAATTAAAAAATATGTTTTGGGGCTGGGGTTGTGGCTCAGTGGTAGAGAACTTGTCTAGCATGTGTAGGGCACCGACTTTGATACCCAGCACCACATAAAAATAAACAAATAAAATGAAGGTATTGTGTCCATCTACAACCGAAGAAAATATGTTTTTCCTGTTAAGGATATTTCACTGGGGAACAAACAGTTCCACAGGACTTCTGCTGCAGTTCTGGGAATGTATCCCTCTATTATGTCAAGTTTTTCAGTAAAGTAGAAATTGGGTTTTAAAAAATATTTTTAGTTGTAGATAGACAAAATACCTTTATTCAATTTATTTTTTATGTGCTACTGAGGATTGAATCTAGTACCTTAAACATGCTAGGCAAGTGCTCTACCCCTAGAATTTTTTTTTTTGAAGGTGCTAGAAGGTTGCCTATATTATTTTTAAATCTGTGTCTACCTTTTTTTTTTTTTTTTTGAACCTGGAATTGAGCTCAGGGGTACTCGACCACTGAGGGACATCCCCATCCCTATTTTGTATTTTTATATAGAGACAGGGTCTCATTGAGTTGCTTAGCACCTCACTTTTGCTGAGGCTGGCTTTGAACTCGAGATCCTCCTGCCTCAGCCTCTGAGCCGCTGGGATTATAGGTGTTTACCACCACGCCTGGCTTAAATCTGGCTTTCACTATTTTAAAATATTTATTTATTAGGTTTGGGGTGACATACTTTTCCTTGCTTTATTTTTGTTTTTATTTCTCCATATAAATGAATCTTGTTATAATGGGGTTTGATTCTTTTTTTTGGGGGGGGGGGTTGATTCTTGAGAAATAAGTTTAGTGACGTTTTTCTGCTTGCTACTTTGATTTTTAGGTTTGACTCTACCATCTACTACTGTCACCACTACTGCTAATTCAAGCACCATGCTGTTTACTTCAGTATCAAATGCTTTTACATCTACAGCAGCCTCAGAGCTCTCATGTAAGTTATATTTATTCCAAAGATAATACTATTATTTCCCATGAGGCCACTTAATTTGCCAATATAAGCATTGGATCTATATGAATCTCCTGCATCTCAAAAAATATTATGTTTGAACCCATTTAAGATTGTTGATATCAATAGTAGCTTTGCTTAGTGCCTAATTGTCGTGGCTTTAGCTTAAGTTATTTTTAAGTTAGTATGTTTATTTTATCTTAAAATGTGGTAAATTTAAGCATCTGGTTCATTAACACTGAGGTTTTGAAGGAGCTTCTGGAAGTTATTAAGAGTAGGAGTTTTTCTAAGTGTGTCTAAAAGAAAGAAGTCCTTATTATTTAGGTGAAGAAGATAAAAAGTAAGGAAAAAGTTTTGGAGCCTTGCTATAGTTGTATTCTTCTGAATAGTCTAGGTTGTGGTCCTTAATATTGTATCTGTCAGAAGTGGAACACCACAAAGGACAACCTGTAGTTTTGGGTCTGATTGACACTGTGGGATATCTCATGACCTCTCCCTCTAAAGAGGAATATTCAAGTGATTTGAGCTGAGAAGTGGGATGATAATTATCTTGTAACCCTAACTTCTTTTGAACATCTTTCATTAGTAGCATAATGGTAGGGCTAGGGTTGTGGCTCAGTGGTAGAGTGCTCACCAGGCATGTGTGAGGCACTGGGTTCGGTCCTCAGCACCACATTAAATAAATAAGTAAAATAAAGGTATTATGTCCATCTACAACTAAAAAATATTTTAAAAACTAGAGTAATAGTAAATGTTGAAAATATTGAATTCTATGTATATCTTAGGTACTTTCTTCTTAATATGCCATAAATTGACTGTGCTTTTGAGGTGTCTTCTTCACAGTGCCGTGGTTTCCATCACTAAACTTTGTTGTATTGTAATCGTAGCTGTAATATGGTCCCCCAAAGCCCTGTGATAGCAAGATTGTTACTATTCCTGGGACTTAAATTTGCCAAGACATTAAGCATGAAGTATAGCATACAGTCCTCATCCACTTGTGTAGTTGGCATAGGTAAACATTCATTAAAATTGTTGGTTACCATGTGAGTAGTGTTTTCTACCAAGTAGACTTCTATTTTGTGACATGGCTGCAATTCTGGAATCCTTCTGATATATGTAAGCAACATCTTTCTCAACAATAAGAGATTTAATGAATGTGATTTGATGAATTTGATCATGTCTGAGGCTTGAATTAATTCCAGTTTCAAAAATGGTAACTCTGACTTTTTTTAAATATATATTTTTAGTTGTTGATGGACATTTATTTATTTATTTATTTACACAATGCCTTTATTTTTTTTTAATGTAGTGCTGAGAATTGAACCTGGGTCCCACCTGTGCTAAGTGAGCACTCTACTGCTGAGCCACAATCCCAGCCCTATTTATGTATTTTTATGTGGTGCTGAGAATCAAACCCAGTACCTTATACATGCTAGGCGAGTGCTCTACCACTGAGCCTCAGCCCCAGCCCTTACTCTCTTTTGATTGGCTTTTTGTTCCTGCCTGCCTCTAATATCCTTGCTTACAAAATGAAAAGATATGTGGATCATACTATCTTTCAATTGCCTTTAATGAGTTATCCCTTACACATTTTAAAATTAACTTATTTATTTTAAGTATAAAATTCAGTGATTTTTAGTAAGTTTGCCAAATTGTGTACCCATCACTATATTTAGTTTTAGAATATTCCATTCATCTCAATGAGATCCCCAGCTATAGATAACAACTGATCTATTTTATATCTCCATAGATTTGTCTTTTCTGGAATTTCATATAAATGGATTTGACCATGATTTTTTGAAATTTAACCTACATTTTCTAAAGGACTCTTGAGGTGAAGAAGACTCTATAAATTCTTGTTTTGATTAAAAGGGCAATTGTTAATATTATGTTTTCTGCAGTTGGTGATCTAAAAACTTTGGCTAGAATACTTGGTATAACTTTGGGATTTGGATTAAAATTCCCTGGAGCAGGTAGACCAGCTCCTACTCTTTCTAGTAAGATTTTAGAATTATTGGGATGTGTTGGGACACTCACTGGAATGTACTACATAACAAATAGTAAGTAAATTATAGTACTAAAGCACCTGGAGCTGTCAAAGTGTGTTTTGACTATCTTATCAGAATATCCAAATAGCATATCAACATAGATGATTGCCAAAGAGTAGAATGAGACAGCTGATATCAGTATAGTGCTTTTTTGGCCATCTGTTCATGAACAAAGAAATAATATCATTGATATCCTAATTTGTTCATTACACATAATACATGTATTGAATAATCATGCCATATCCAATAAATATGCATAACATTATGTGTCAATTAAAAATAAATAATTAAGTCTGAGAATGTAGCTCAGTGGTAGAGCACTTGCCCAGCATGTGTTTGGTCCTGGGTTTGATCCCTAGCACTATAAAAAATAATTAAAATTTATATACTCTTTTGAGAGATGACCACACTCAAAATTGTTATCAAATTGTGGTCAACATTTTTTTTTAGAGAGAGAGAGAATTTTTAATATTTATTTTTTAGTTTTTGGCGGGCACAACATCTTTGTATGTGGTGCTGAGGATTGAACCTGGGCCGCCCGCATGCCAGGCGAGCGCGCTATCGCTTGAGCCACATCCCCAGCCCAACATTTTTTAAGCCTAAGAATTTTTATTGTTATTAATGTTTAACTTCTTGGACTAATAGAAATTATTTTTTTTTCTAAATGTAAGTTAAGTTTTTCACATCTATTAAGGTCAGCCCTCTCCTAAAATTGATCCCAAACCTGTTCTAAATTTTTTTTTCTTTCAGTAAGGACCTAGTTACATTGTAGATGAAAGAAAACTTGGTTAGTCATTGCCTGTAGCTATTGTGAGCTGGCCATTTAAACCTTCCATTTAATTTAGACTTCATTTTAGGAAACTTTTTTTTTTTAAGTTTACTTAGGGCTGGAATGAATCGTCAAACCTGGCATGAATTAAAGTCAACTCCTTTTAAGCCTAAAATAATTATTCCTAAACAGAGATGTATATCGTCTCCTTATGTCCTCTTACAGGATTAGTACTTGCTTAATTTCTACCAGATAGTAGCCTTACTGGCCAACCATTGAGAGTTATAAATGATGTGTTGTGATAACTGTACAAGTTACCATATTTTAAAAACATGTAAAGCATACTCTCCTCCGAAAAATTACTGAAAAAAAAGAACTTATTCTTTCATTTATGGAATGAGTCATTAAAACATGAATTGTAAAGACAAAAAATATGAATTGGAAAGCTCCTTGGTGACTCTTGTCACAACCTATCTTTTATGTATCTAAGTATCAAATTCCTTCCTGCAAACTGATATTTTTGGGACTAACCCAATCCTCAGCACTATTCTATTCACACTGCCATATATACCTACACTGCTCCTCATCAGGTATGTCTCAACTTGACACCCTCAGCTGAGAGTCCCCCCCCCACTTACCTTTCCTTCCCACCAAGTGTATTACTTTTTCAGAGATTTCATCTCACAAACCAGCATTGCACAACAGCTTTCAAGTGCCTGTATCTGTAGATTTACAGGTCTTTGGGATTACACTCTGGTCTAAGTATAATCATAGAGTTTTAAGAGAAGATTGTTCTTTAAAAAATATTTTTAGTTGTAGATGGACACAATACCTTTATTTTATTTTTTTATTTTTATATGTTGATAAGGATCAAACCCATTGTCTCACAAATGCAAGGCAAGTGCTCCACCACTGAGCTACAACCCCAGCTCAAGAAGCTTGTTGTTTTTTTAATAGATAATTGAGAAATTTTATTTTATATGAAAACATTTACATTTGGAAAACTAATTTTTATTGGTTATTTTTAGTTATACATGACAGTAGAAGCCATTTTGATATAATTATGCAAACATGGAATATATCTTATTCTAATTAGGACCCATTCTTGTGGATGTACACAATGTTGGGGATTCACTATAGTGTATTCATATGTGTACATAAGAAAATTATGTCAGATATATTCAGGTACCTTTCCTTTCCCTATCCCTACTCCATTCTCTTCATTCCCTTTTGTCTAATTTACTTATTCTTTCCCCTGCTACACACTTATTGTGGGTTAGCTTCCATATATCAGTGAAAATATTCAGCCTTTGGCTTTTGGGGACTGGCTTATTTCACTTAGTGTGATAGTCTCCAGATCTATCCATTTACTGGGCAAATGTCATAATGTGATTCTTCTTTATGACTGAGTAATATTCCATTGTGTATATGGCTGAATAATATTTCATTGTGTATATGTATCATTTTTTCTTTATCATTCATCTGTTGAAGGCTACCTAGGTTGGTTCCATATCTTAACTATTATGAATTGAGATGTTGTAAACATTGATATGGCTGTGCCACTATAATTTGCTGATTTTAAGTCCTTGGGTATATACCAAGGAGTGGGATAACTGGTTCAAATGGTGGTTCCATTCCAAGTCTTCTGAGGAATCTCCATACTGCCTTTCAGAGTGGGTGCACCAATTTTTACCAATGTGTAAGTCAATATTTTCCCCCAATCTTCCCCAGCGTTGTTACTTGTATTCTTGATAATTGCCATTCTTACTGAAGTGAAATGGAATCTCAGTATAGTTTTTTTTTTAATAAATGTCAACAGAATGAATTATAGTTAATATTACATGTATGGAGCACAATTTTTCATATCTCTGGTTGTATATAATGTATATTCACACTGATTCGTGTCTTCATACATGTACTTTCTCCTTATATTAGAGAAAACATTTGGCATCTAATTTTTTTGGGGATTGGCTAACTTCACTTAGCATTATCTTCTCTAACTCCATCCATTTACCTGCAAATGCCATAATTTTATTCTCTTTTATTGTTGAGTGATATTCTATTGTGTATATATACCACATTTTTTTATCCATTAATCTACTAAAGGGCACCTGGGTTGGTTCCACAGTTTAGATGTTGTGAATTGTGCTGCTATAAACATTGATGTG